GAAGTATTACACGTTACGTCCATATATATGGATAATTACGGAAAATAAGAAAAGATAGCAAAAAATATATTATTTTTTTATACGAGCGTAATTAGAAAATGCAACAGTTAAACAATAATAATTAGATAAATCACAAGAAACTCGATCAACGTGTGGTTTTAAACGGTTGATTGTCACATATACATGGACGTCGATATGTTCGGCTATCGCTTGATTAATCGCTTGATTAAAGGTCGCCAGCTAGAGAACCTTTAGATTAGCATCTCCAAGCTAATTAACTCTCGACATGCGCGACAAATCAATCGAGTGGTAGTCTTTCAACCGCTCTCAAATTGGATTCATACGGTGGCATCACGCGCGAAAGGATATTGAACCGAGGACGAGATGACAAAGTTCAAATGAACGCGGAAGATGTGTCAATTGGTGTTATAAAATGATTTAATTACATTGGCGTTATAATAAGGAAAACGAATATTTATTAGACGTGATTCTGTTATAACATGGTAAGGAAGTAAACACTGTTTGTGAGATACACCTAGCTAATAAAATCTTATATTTATTATACAGTTTACATTCATTATGGACATTATTTCTTTGGAAATTTTGATTTATGCTTTAATTATTTGTTGTGGAGAAGATTCATTAAAAATTGTAAGCAAATAGCCTTATAAGAAAAGTTTCCTTGGAAACTATCGACTTAAGATTCATCGTTAAAATTACGCGATCCGGAGTTCTTCGAACTCACCCTATCTAATCAGTGTGTTTTATTTTTCTCTGATATCATACTTCTTCCACCGAACGCGCGCAAACTTTTCTAACAAACTCTCTCGGATAATTTCTTGCCAAAGTGTACGAAAAACGGCGTAAAAAAGAATAAATTAACAGCGCGACACAATAGATTAAATTTACAAAAAAGAGCGTAGAACGCGTTTTCCTCATACAGAAATCGCAAAAGCTCTCTGACACAGGCGCTCTATATATGCTACGGCTTAACTATCCTTTGATATTATCTCCAACATTGCCTCCACTTTGTCTCTACCAACGACTCTTTACGTCCATAACCTCTGGTCCTGTACTAATACAGAAAAGGGTTTGATCTCTTTGACGAAAAATACGAGCTAATTGGCGTATATTCCACCGCGGTGGCATATTCCGGCGCGTTCGTTAGTCACAATATTCCCAGGAAACGTACCAGATTCTGGAGAACCGCTTTGAAAGATCGGAATTATTGTCTTTCGCATTATTTCCTCACCGAGGCGACCATGCGGCTCGACCAAGTTGCAGCGATAATTGTAATCTACAGCATCTCGTATATCTTTTATCCGCTTACCTTGTGCATTCGCGGCGAAAGATACCTATACTTACGCAGATTCGCAACGCACAAGTTAGTCACCTTTCGCACCTATGCCTATATTTTATATTTTCATCTCCCATGGAAAGAAAGAAATACGCATTGGAAACTCAAGCATTATCTCACGTATTGTTAATTAAAGTATCACGAAATCATTTGTAAAACAATCTCGCCTACCTTTCCTGATTTAACAAGTTCTTAATCTAGTACGCCATTAGGTGTTCCTTTTATCCAATCAGTTTCCATGCAATTACCTCAGGGCAAACGGATACGGTGAGGCTTCGCATTTCCGGACGAAGCCAGATACTCTCTCGCTTCCGATACGTTTCAACGATTCTTCACGTACACGTGTAATGCATGATACGCGGACGTGTTCACGCACCGCGACAGAAACGGTTCGAAATGTACCGGTGTAACTAAAGCTAAACACCAGCTAATGAACGCATACGGGCGGCTCTTTGGCACAAAGGTCCTCCCTCTGCTTTATATAAAGCACGAGTGAGTTATTTACATTGTGGTCGACAGAATTTCAAGCTGCACGAGGTTCTAATGAACCTTTACCTCCTCCACCCACTTGCCGCTATCATCGCCTTCCCTCACACATATCGTCTGACCGAACTGGTTCGTTCGGGCCAGCCAGCGTGTCGGGTCGTTAATTAATTAAAATCCCGAAGCGAAATCCGCATCGTCGCAAATATTTTAGATACCTCGAAAGCTTTATGAGGAAAATACTTCAAACTTCCTGACGCACCCCACCCCTTCCATTCGCTGCGCGTCTACGTTCACCCCCGGGGAACGGGGATTCATGGCGAATAGCTGTAGAACCTTCGCCGCACGAATATTTACGAAGGGTGGTCGCGAATGCGGGAAAAAAAGGAGTATTTAATGAAATGTACGTATGGAGAGAAAGAGAGAGAGAGAGAGAGAGAGAGAGAGGGAAAGAATCGGAAAAGGGATGCCACGGAAATCATAAAAATACCGCGAACCAGAAAATCGTAGAATTTCAATGATCAGCATTTAACCACTATGCATTTAATTTTCCTCGATAACTCACACTGACGCAAATATTTTTTTGCGGTTGAAATAGTCACTCACTCGTAATTAATAGGCTCGCGTTGTATATATGTTCGATTATATCAAATATATATTCAAGAAAAAACTCAAACATATTCAAAATAAAAATGGAATAAAAATAAAGCTACGTATACGGCACATCCCGTAAATACAAAATAAAAAATATGTATACGTTAATTACTATAAAAATTATAGCTACATTATATTTTGCAACAGTTGTCATAAAATTATTAGAAAGAGTAATGATTGTTAACTTTATTAGTGGGAACATCCTGTTACATAAAGTTATTCTCTTTGTCAAAATCATCTTGATTGAATTAAGAAAAGTTATCAATTTTTCGTATCATATTGATTCATGTAACATAATTAATGTTATCTAACTTATTAATATTATGTAATAAAAGTTATCTCAAATGTAAATTCAAGATAACTTTTATTACATATTATGATAATATTAATTGTCACATTAATACTATAAATACTATAATATTGAAATAATATTGAAATAATGCAAACAAGATCCTATTTTACGACGTAATTACCGGTAACACGTACATTTATTCACGTAAAACGTAATGCACAGCAAAATCACAGAAATACGCTATGCTATGCAACTCCGGACGAAGACTCCGGCAATGATGACAATCACTTTTCGAGATAACTTTCAGTTCCCTAATCTCTGTACTCCCCCATCCTTTCTATACGCTCCATTATTCTCTTCTACTCTTTCTTTTTCTGTCTCTCTTTCTCTCTCCGGACCGTAAGCTTGAGATTAAGGTCCTTTAACGACTACACGTCGTGGCCATGTCCAGCCGAATAATTACGAATATGAAACCCGACAAGCTTTGAGATTCGTATGAGACTTTATTTGACGGGGTTACAACTTGAAAAATTTTCACGGATGTCAGATCCATTAGCAACGAAAAAATAAAACATTGTACGTTATATAAGTCGATTTTGCTGAAAATTCCACATTACATTTCGTTTTTGTTCTATTAATCTGTTATAATTTACCGAGAAAATGTTACGATTTAATTAATGGTGCAAATATATAACCGAGGAAAACTGTTGCGCGTTATGGTCTCTATGTGCTTTATCGTTTCCTGTGTTTATCGAGGGAAAAGGGTGTAATTGCATAGTAATTAATTACAGGTTGCAACTCGTTAAAAATGTTCACCAGACGTCGATAATCAACCATCAAACGAAACGTGAGAATATATTTCTTTCTTCGCTTTTTCTGACGGCGCTTATTACCGGTGACTTTTATCTAAGATGTTAGTTTCCAAGATCCAACACAAAAGGAAAGCGTCTTAATTAGACGAGAAGAACTTTAATTAGACAGTACGCTTAAGTGACATACTCAAGAACGACCTTTATCAAACTTGAACATAAGACTATAAAAGAGGAGAAAGAGAAGAAAGAGGAAATCCCTGAAAAATACGAAATCGAATTTCGAAACTTATCACAAATTTAATTAACCTAAATACTTAAGTATCTTTTACCCGAAAACGTACTTCATGTTCGAATATATATATTACGTACATGTAATATTAGAATTTTCATATTAAATAAAATTGGATGTAACAAGATAAAACAAAATTCAATGTTGCGTTTTCAAAAAAACATACGCCATTCTCTTCCATAAAATCGCCGATTAAGTCGTTACATATGAGTACAGCGTAATCACCCTTTGTGTCGCGTACCCATCCGCCTTCATCCACTTAGCTTTTCAATTATCAAGCTCAACTTATGTGCGCAGTTTGTGGCGTTCCGATAAACCACCCTCGAAAATCCCAAGCTTGGCGAACACCAGCCCCGAAAAATACGCCAACCACGAAGCTTAACATCTCGGGGGTGGTATTATCCGCGAGTGGTGGCGGGCAAATCCCCGGTTCTGCACGAGCCAACGCTTGGCTGGAGCAGATTGGCAGAGGAGATCAACGAAGTGGGCAGCGACGACCTTGCGCTTCCTGGCTGAGTTTAATCAGCCGTACCTATCCCGAGCCATGCCACTACATACTATTCACGACTGCACCTTGGGGCGGCGCACTTAACGGCACTTATCCTCGCAAGGAATTGATGTGACTGGAAACTCGCTGTAAAACCCACCGTTAAACCGCGGGACAAAGCCATATCGTCGAACGAATAGACACCCTAGCGACCCTGCGCCGTGCGAGTTCGGAAAGCACGATCCCGATATATCCTCGCCACATGAAGTTCCGCGAACTTGCGGATCAGACGATCGAGTCATTGCCGCAGACGTTTCTGCACGACTGACTCGAATGGTATGCGAGAGAGAATCAATTCCGAAACATTAATGCTTTGTCATCATTTAATTATTATTTAAGTTTCGCAACAAATTGTGTGTACACTTGTCCAGATATTAAAATAATCGTCCGTGCTTATTCATGTGATAGAAATCATATTCTCATTTTCGACGAATAATATATCGCAAAATTGGTAATTAATTATATCGTACATATTTCCGAAAATAGTTGCGATAAAGAAAGGAATTTTGAAGAATTAATTCCTTCCGGCATAAACATGTTCAATTATAATTTCAAAATGCACTTACCTTTGCTGATTATTATTCGCGATAGGCATAGGAGTCGGCACTCTCGGTGGTGGAACCGGTATAGCTTTTCTTCGCCCTCCACCGGTTTGATGCACCGTCGGTGTTACTCTCCCGGTTGGTGCTATTCGACCGGCGGTCCGTGGTCTTTCTGTTCGCACCTCCATAGTATATATCTGTAAAAGATAATATAAAATATTTTGTTATTCAAAAAATTGTATTGTTTTATTAAAAATTTTTGAAAAATATAAAAATATATTACATTTTGTACAAAAATAGTTTATCTACAAAAAATAATTATGCTATAGTTATATTTTCGTTATTTAACTTAATAATTAGATATTTGGCTGTATGGAAAATGTATTATCAGAGAATCGAAAAATTGGAATAAATATTATAGAAAGCGGTCGGCGAGTTCGGCGCAAAAGTATCGCTTCTCCGTAACTTCAGCGGCGCCGAAGATCACAGAAATGATGATAAATTCTGAAAAGAGCGAATGTTTGGAAAGGACTGACAAGAAAAAACGAAAAAGAGACTACCGGCCTGTACGACTACCAAACTTCTGCTTCACGGTGTGTCGACTTTGAGCTCGCCTCTTTCTCGCACGTCTGTTTCCCTTCGTTTATTCAAACTAGTTTAACGCGCTAAGCGGGTCTGGATACGATTCAGTAGCGTTATCATTAACCTTAGGAATAATACATGCAAAAAGTGTTTGGAAGGCAGGAAACAAAACCAATATACGTATGCGACGACATAATTCTTCTATCCTTGAATTTATGTAAAAAATAGAACATGGTTATAAAAAAGATTAACTATAAATTAAAAAAATTTTTTTTAGATATCAGTTATTTGTTTGTATACGATCATTTATCTACAACCCATCCCAAGACTTCTTAAAAAACGAGAGAGAATGTTTTGTCTATGCAGGTAGAATGCAGATATACAGCGAAGAAAAGTCACGAACGTTTTCCACATTGAACCACCTCCTCGTTCACGGTCACTGGAAGAAAAAAACGCGCCCGGTACAATCTCAAGCCGGTAGTGCAGCGTTTTTGTCGCGGATGCTTTAACATCGCGGGCGTGAAGAACGCGAACGACGTCGGCAAAGGAGGAGACGAGAAGAAAGGGATGGTAGACGACCGGTGCGATCATTATTTCCCGACGTGTGTAGTCCACCGAGATAGGGATGCCGGTGAAACAATGCGCGCCAGCAAGTTGGTTTAAATATTCGGCCTCCGAATCCGACGCGGATACGCGCCATTCGCACTCGTATCATGGGGATGCAACTTGAAACCGTGTATAAAGACAACCGTGTAAAAAGACAACAACAATATTTCCTAGGCGACATAATGGAAGTAAAAATTATGACAATCGATAATTAAAAATTCACATTAGAAGAATTATTAGATGTATAAAAATATACATATACATATATAGAGAAATAAAAGTTATTAAATAGTTTTTATCCAAACGCAGAAAAAGAAGATGATATTGTCGTTTTAATATCTTTCTTTTTTTAATTTTTGTGTCTATCTATCCCAAAAATAATAATTTATCTTAGAGATCATACAATTATACAAATTTAAAATTTATCTATTTATAATTACAATAAAACAGAAATAGATATTGTCATAACCAGTCTATCATATGTTTATGTTTATGTTTATACGTTATACCGTACATTGTAACCTAATCCGTACATTGTAAAATTAAATGAGAAATATAAAAACGATTTTTTTTCCAATAAAGAATATTTTTAATATTCTTAAGATAATTATTCACTAAGTTATTTAAAAAGTCTCGTGTCAAAACTAACTTAAATTTCTATTTCACTATGCACATGTACTCTTCATTTTCTCCTCTTTTTCCCCTATCTCATATTTGGGTCCATACAGGGGCATGAAAATTTCACGATTGCACGGATTCGCGTATAAAAAAAATTCCGCTGTACGAACAGAAACAAAATATCGCAATGTTAGCGACTGTCAGAGACGAGCCGGGAAAATAAACCCCGGGCACCGACGGCGGCTTCACAATGGGGAGCATCTGCTTAGCAAATTGCGAAAAATAATAACGTTTACACCCGAATCCGTGGCACGGAGCACCGTAGGAGTCTGCCCCGTGGTATACAGCGTAATACAATAACGCCCACTCGTGGAACTGCGAATTCAGAGGCCGGGAAGAGTGAATGCGAAGGCGGACGATGAAGAGGATGAGGAGGATGAGAGGTGCAAAACGAGCGTCGTGCAAGCTCCCCTTCGTAGTAGTGCACCCGCGAAAACAATATGCGTATATATGTGGAGAATCGCGAAGAGAATCGTGTATCCGCGCATGCTTGTTACACGCGACACCGAGTTATCCAGCCGAAGACGATTCCGGAACTTCTTTGAGTTTCACTTCCGCGCCAGTGCATTCGCTATCATCCGTGCACATCTTGCCAAAGATTCCGTCGAGAACTTCGAGGTTTCGAATCAACGCCGCGATCGATTCGCGGTAAATCATTCTGTATTAGGTATATATTTTAATTCTTCTTTATCATATATGAAAAAATATACTATATATCGATAGCTTAACATACGTTTCTTAAATAATAATCCAATATTTTTCAGAAAATAAAAAAAATTAGATACTAATTTTATTTTAATGTAATATATTTTTTTAGAACTATGTAGTATCAATTTAATATTTCTTAACAAATTAGCTATTTAAATATGTTGCCTGATATATTAAACTATGATATTTAAGGCGTTGTGTCATGAGAGGAGCATTTTTATTTAAAAGATGATCGAGATCGAGATAATGCGCAGTTTCATCATAAACCAGAGAAGTATGCGATTATACCAATCTAAATTATTAATTCTGTCGCTCACATTCGGTGGAAATGGACGACCAATACGTTTAATGCGACATAATACGTTGGCATGACTAATTCGTGCTATTATCAATGATGCTAATCGCCATCTATCTACGAGAGTAATGAATACCGCAAATTAATAACGTTCGATTGACACGTAACGTCCGAGCTTCATCCGCTGAGCGACGTGCACATTGTGTTCCTAACAAGAGCGCGAGTTTCCCAACCCCCTCCGACTCTTTCATTGCATGCATGTTACACATCGATCGTTCGTTACGCGCGCACCTTCCGGCGACGATCGAAAAACGTCATTAACGAGAAAAAATATTTCCAATTTGACAAGTAGAATCGAATCCAAAGAATTACTCATGTTTAATAGGAATAAATACGCGATGTTTAATATAATACATAATAATTAATTTGTGCATCACCATTGATGTTACGGCTAATGCAATAAACGGATTACATTATCACGTAGCATTTTTAATAATACGATATGCACACTTTCCATACTCTCAATTCAATTATATAAAACTTGTATTTTTTAATAATAAAAAAATCGCTATTAACGAGAAATGTATTCGTCGTTATTTAAATGAGGAATTACGCCGACAATGTTTAATGCTGAATTCTACATTAGCTTCATTATCTCATCTCATGCAATGAGATAATCAATTAGATTATCATGCCGATCGCCACGAGTGAATACGACAAATTAATAACAGTCGATTGATATGTAATATTCCAGAATGCATTTCGCAGTCTCCTAACTCCTTTATGTTCGCGCACCGAGCGCGCGCGCGTGCGCTTTCGGATTAAGACGAAAAAATGTTATTAACGAATGAGAAAAAAGGGCGCCGAAAAAAGATATTTCGCTTTTCGTGAGGAGAAAGGAGAAAAAGAGAGAGAGACAGAGAGACAGAGAGAGAAGGGGCCGCATTCAAAAGAGAATTTATCGGCGATATTTCTCGACCGGACGACGTCGGCGTCGCGCAATGTCGGCTTCTGTCGATTCCTATTAATCATTGGCGTACAACTGAGCGTACCCGTATCAACACGCGGACCGAAGATACATGTCGGGAGTTTCTCATGCCGCGACGCGATCGCCACATGTGACCACAGTCCGACGTTCTCATGGCGATCGCATATCCGAGGTATCACGTGCGCGACACGCGTGCAACTAGCAATCTTTTCTGTTTCTTCTCTCTTTTTCTTTTTCATAACTACATTGCGATAGACCATTCCCTTTGCGAACTGACAAATTAAAGCGAGTACTGTTATAGACATCAATATAGGATATCTCTTCTAGGTCGCAGAGAAGTGAAATTTAAAAAAATTAGTTTTCTAACTTTTAAATCAAGAATACATATCTAAAACTTAGAGAGCCAATAATATAGAAAGGTAATTTTAGCTCGTACATTAATTCCAAACGGATTTTTAATTTTAACTCTGTGCCTTATGTGCATGCGTGTGTTTTATGTATTTTATTTGAATATAAATTGTTTTAATATTTAAAAATTTTATGAAAATGACATTTAATTCAGATGCAACTAAATTTAAATTAAAACTTTATTTTATAAAACGTTAAAATATTATTTTATTATTTTATTTCATTATATTAATTAATATTCTCTGTTATCATCTCCATAATAAAGGTTATGTAAACGTTACTAGACCATATATAACGTGCTGTTATAACGTTATATAATATTATTGGTTGATATAATTAATATTTTTCAGACGTATTCTTTGATGTATATGTGTTGTTCGTTATTATATTTATATTTATCATCGCGCGGAAAGTTTTCCGAAAACTCACGCGCGCGACTGCAACACGCGCACGCTTTTCCTGTCCCCTGTTATGTTTGTTTAAGCAAGTAAATGATCTATGTATCTTGTCCGCGGCCCGAGACGGACGAGCAGACTTTATAAATTCAGGACAAATTAGTTTATCTTTGAGCGATGTTTACTATACACTAAAAAGCCAGCGGAACCGCACAGCCCACCCACACACAGTTAAATCAAAGACCCCGCTAAAAATATAACATGTTTCTCATCACAACACCCCTTCCCGCTTTTTCTTGACTTTATCCCCCTCTAGTCGTACGTCTATCCAGGAAGTTGACTTAGAGTATGAAAAGCATAATTATACATCAATATTAATAGTCATTTAAAATTATAAAAAATAATAAATATTTAATTATTACTAGTAATTATTTTTTAGTAGTAATTGAGAAATTATTTTTAAAAACAACCAATTTTTCATTAATAAGAACTTACTGCATTGTTTTTTAATAAAAGCACATAAAATACATATGCTTT